TCCAGAAACCGGGGACCACGTGGTCGGCTCTAACGCCGCGCCCCTGTCTTGCGCATGCGCACGGCTCACTGATGCTGAGTTAGCAGCAAATGGCGTTGTTCAGTGTTGACCATGGAAGAGCTCCATGATCTACCGTAGTGACTTGCGGCAAGAAAGAAATGATCGCTTGATGTCCGTGCACACCTCCGGCGAAATTGGAGACGTTCAGCGCTTCAACAGGTACTGAAGGAGATAGCGGGTTTAATGCGGTGTTTGCCTAAAGTCGTGCGACGATTGCTATAATCACACGAGGTTTAGCTAAACTCTCGCGATATTTACGTAAATTCACGCGACGTTTAGGTTTGATCCAAAAAAAGTAGTTCTGAGACAAACGGCACTTCATATTCTCCGAGGGTTTTATTAACCCTCGGCGAGCACGCGCAGCGGGAGTTCTGTCCGTCTCTGTCTGTCCGTCTGTTACCACGTTTTCTGCCACCACGCGCAACAAACAGGAATAGCGACACCAACTGGTTCAGCGCTACACTGGCTTCATTTTTAAAATGGCGATTTTCGTCCGCGTTCAGAAATTATGGCGTGAAAACCAAGTGAGCAAGCTAATATCAGAGGCTTACCTCGACCGGGTCCGCTTGTTCTGTGGATGTTGAAGGCACAAGAAGTCGCAACAAACAACGTGTATCGACTCCCGCATGCTATCTACTACTGTAGCTAGCCCGTGTCTGAGCTTATACTAGCGGAATAAACTATAGCCCAACCCATCGATTAGCGGTACCGCGCATGCGCAGTTCGCCGAGGGTTTGCACTTAGTGCTTTTCATTCGAGGTGGTAGCTAGTTAGCTCGAACAACAACCAGATTTACTTGTCATTCCTAGTTTCCAGCATTATCAATGCAGATGTTGAAGGATTTGGAAGTGTGTATCCTGATCTCTGTCTGTGTTCACTGTCTGTTGGCCCAGACATTTCCATTTGTCAGATTCAATAGACAAACTCTCGCAAACCATAGCTATGTGAACATCAGTGCTGTGGGACATGATGACAGTGGTAGTGACAGTGTTCAGTGTCACACTGATCTGAGTACATGCTGCAGTGTTGAACAGGGTCCACACAGAGGAGACTGGTACTTTCCTAATGGGACACGGCTATCAGTCCCTGAGACTAGTGATGATATCTATGAAACTAGAGGTTCCAAAATAGTTCATCTTCATCGTAGCAACCAGAACACATCTGGTATATATCGTTGTGACATAGCAACAAGTGCAGTTCACCATGACAATGTTAGTGTACGAGATACAGTGTATGTTGGACTCTATCTCAATGGAGAAGGTGAGAAGTGCTAGCAACACCAACAACTTTTTATTGTCATTCATTAGGTGATATCGTTGTAACTGAGATCAAAACAAATTTAGAGATCATGGATAGTTGTATTACCCAACTAATCCTCACCTGTATCTCCACTGGTGGACCTGCTACCACTGTCACTTGGACCAGAGACTCCACCACTGTTACCCAAGGAGCTGAGAGTGTATTGAAAGACCCAGCAACTTCACAGTACACCCACACTCTGACTGTGACTGGGACTCTGGTGGGAGGAAACTACACATGTACTGTGTCCAATAACAAGCCATCCAGTAAATCATCAAGTATCATAGTCAGCGGTAAGTACAGTGGTAATAGGGATGATAACAATACACATTGTTGGTTCATTTGGCTATTCCAGTTCCATCTAATCTGACGCTGGAGCAAAACAATGAGACAAGCATCAATGCATCATGGAGTCCACCTCCCCAGTCTGCAAACATTACAGGATACAGAGTGTTCTGGACTCAGTGTGCCTCCTCTGACTGTATCAACAAAACTATGATCACTTCCTCGACAAATGAAATCACTCACTGGCTTGATGGCAGGGCAATGCTACAGTGTTTCTGTGGTTAGAGTCTCATGTCTCCCAAGCGATACTGCAACCCGCAATATAACTTTAGGTAATTATTTCCTTGTTGCTAGAAGTTTCTGTCTCACAAAATTATATTTTCTCTTGTTTAAAGTTACCAATCCAGGTAATATCAGCATTGATGTGGTATCTACTTATAGCCATGGTTTCTCATTGATGATAAACCTTACTCACTATGTAGAAAATGGGATCTATCATATTATGAACAATGTGACTTGGTTGAGATTTTTGCACTGTAACAATGGTCTTGGAGGCTCTAATGTGACTGACCAGGCATATGATGGGAATCCAACGAATCTAATCATTACTGGATTAGTTCCTAACAGTGAATACAATATGACAGTGGTGGTAGGTAATGCTCTGGGAAGCAGAACACAGAGTGTTTTTAATCAGACTCAGCCAGCAGGTACAGCCTTTAACCCATATGTAGCAAACCTTCACACGTCATGTTAAATAATAATCCTGCAGCACCATCTGCCCCACCACAAGACATAGTGGCGGTAAACCAGACCCTCTTCACCATCACCATCAGTTGGCAGCCTGTTGACTGTGCCCATCAGAATGGGAATATAACAGGATATGAAATACGATATAGGAAAGAAGACGGTGGAAATACCGAAGCAGTGTCAGTCAGAGTCATAATGGGTGCGGATTATACCCTAACAGACTTGCAGCCATCAACTACATACTTGATTCAAGTGGCAGCAAACAACACAGTTGGCAGAGGCGTTTTTGGAAGCATATCAGCATCAACGCTATGTGAGTTCAGTACTTTGAAGCACATATGATTAGTTACCAAGTTCTTTTGTGTGCAGTTGAAGTTCATGTGATATCAACAACATCAACTTCGATTAACATATCATGGGCCAAAGTTGACTATGAAGTTCTAATCACATGGATCAGCACTCTATCAAGCAATTGTACACAAAATATCGATCAAAGTTTAAAGAAGGATTCTCTGAATGGGAAATCCTCTTATGTGATAGATGGTCTGAAAGTATTCACCGAGTATAACATCACACTTTGCATAAATGGCTCTATCTGTACTTTCAAGACTGTAGTGACTAATGCAACTGGTGTGTTCATTTCATAATCTTGTATGATTCTTAAAAATTGGTAATTTTTTCAGCACCATCTGCACCTCCAAAAGGAATGTCATGGGAAGGAAGCTCATCGACAAACATCACCATAAAATGGGGTCCTGTGCCATGTGCTGATCGCAATGGAAATATCACTAGTTATGTAGTGATGTTCAGAGAAAATGGGAAGGAAATATTCTATAATGAAGCTACTACTGGAGGTGATATGGAGTTCACTATCACTGGATTACAACGATCGACAGAGTATGAGATTAAAGTTGCTGCTTTCACTGTTGCTGTTGGACCGTTCACTAATGAAAGCTTGTTTGCAAGCACCACAGGTAGTTATATGCATAAGAGCTATGCATTATACCCTGCACGTTTGCGTGATAATACAGACTCACCCAACATAATAATTTACCATTGTACTGAATATCTCCTCCTATACCACAGCAGGCACTAGAGAAGGTGGCAGTAATGTTGGTGGAGTAGTGGCTAGTGTGATACTGTCTGTTCTGTTCCTTATTGGAGCTACTCTGGGCATCCTTGCTACTATCTGGCTAATGAGAAGGTGTAGATGTTCATTGGGAATTTTCTTCATATCTACTCTGTTGTGTGTGCTCTGCAGGAAAAAGTCAACTATGAAGGGTCTTTTCTCAATGGGTCACTTTAAAGTCATGTGCAAACAAAGCACCTTGCCACACTCTAGAGGACAAGACATTTCTCTGGAGAAGCTTTCCAGTGAGTCAATACTATTGGGTACGGCCTAAGACTAGTTAGTATCTTGTTCTCAGCTGGAGGGAGTCTTGCAGGTGCACAGCTATCCTCTGAGTAAGATGAAGTCAAAACACACTTTCAGTCTCACTCTGGCAGTCTCTCACAACAGCCAGCTGCAGTACAGGCTATACCCTACCTCTCCTATCTAGCTGATGAGGAGGTAGAGGAGGAGGAGGTGGAGGAAGAGGCTCATCCAGTACCCAAGCCTTCAGGTAAGTTTCATGCAAGACCAGTACCTCTGCCAGTGGCTCTGTTTGGGAGCAATGTGGAGAAGAAACACACCAACAACAACCAGCCTTTCATGACTGAGTTTGAGGTAAGCCCAAATATTACATGAAACAAATTCACTTTGTTGTTGTGTGGATGTATATAGGCACTGGGTGATGGGGAAGGAAAGACTGTTACTGTAGCAAGGACACCACGGAACACGAAAAAGAACCGTTTTGCCA